TGGCCGAGAGTCGGATCAAGGAAATCACCATGAAGGAGAGTGCCATCGAGCCCAGTGCCCTGGAGAGCCTTATCAACTACGTGTACAGTGGCCAGGTGCGCATCGACAATCAGAATGTGCAGAGCCTGATGGTCGGAGCCTCGTTTCTGCAATTATCCAATGTACGGGATGCCTGTGCCAACTTTCTGATCTCACGTTTCCATCCCCACAACGTCCTGGGCATACGCACCTTTGCCGACTCCATGATCTGCCGCCAATTAATCGATGCTGCCGACAAGTACATCGACCAGAACTTTGCCAAAGTCTCCCAGTCGGAGGAGTTCCTCACCCTGGACTGTGACCAGCTGCTGGAGCTGATGCGGCGCGACGAGCTCAATGTTCGCACCGAGGAGGTCATCTTTGAGGCCTGCATGAAGTGGGTGAAGTACGCGGAGGACAAGCGCTCGGAGCTGTTTCCTCAGGTGCTGGCCGCAGTCCGTCTGCCCCTGCTATCCCCCCAATTCCTGGCCGACCGAGTGGCCCGAGAGGAGCTCATAAAAACATCGCACCAGTGCCGGGATCTGCTCGACGAGGCCAAGGACTTTCATCTGATGCCCGAGCGCCGGGGGTTGCTGCAGAGTTTTCGCACTCGGCAACGATGTGGAGAGTTTTTTACGGGACAAATCTATGCCGTCGGTGGACTGGCCAGTACCGGGGAGTCCGTGAGCACGGTGGAGATATACGATCCACTCACAAAGAAATGGAAAATGGGTGAACAAATGTCCATGATGAGGTGAGGAGAAGCCCCTCAATGTGTGTTTATTTAATTGATTAATTAATTGCTATTCTTGTGCAGATCACGCGTGGGTGTGGCCGTTCTGGAGGGTAAACTGTACGCTTTTGGCGGCTTCAATGGCACCGAGCGCCTCTCCACCGTGGAGGTCTATGATCCGCGCAAGAACAAATGGTCTCAAGGGTGTGCCATGCTCTGTAAACGCAGTGCCGTGGGCGTGGCCGCTCTGGACGATTGCATCTATGTGTGCGGTGGATATGACGGCGTCACCTCCCTCAACACCGTTGAAGTTTACTATCCCAAGAATAACACATGGAAGACGGTGAGTCGAAAACGTTTCTGATTAGATTGGCAGTCAAATTAATCAACGAACTTCATGCACAGGTTGCTCAAATGATGAAGTATCGCTCGGCCGGTGGCGTCACCCAACTGAATGGGTTTGTCTATGCTCTGGGCGGACACGATGGACTGTCTATATTCGATTCGGTGGAGAGGTATGATCAAAACGAAGACTCCTGGGTAAAGATGTCGCCCATGCTGAACCGTCGCTGTCGCCTGGGCGTGGCCACGCTGAATGGCAAAATTTACGTGTGCGGCGGCTACTGTGGCAACTCTTTCCTGCGATCCGTCGAGTGCTACGATCCTCAGACAGACACATGGAAACTTGTGACGCCCATGAACTGCAAGCGTTCGCGAGTGGCACTGGCCGCCAATATGGGCAAACTGTGGGCCATTGGCGGCTACGACGGCGAATCGAATCTATCCACGGTGGAAGTGTACGATCCGGAGACAGACAAATGGACTTTTATGCCACCCATGTGTGCCCACAGCGGCGGCGTCGGGGCGGGAGTTATACGAATCGAATAGCCCCACCGCCCAGCCAAATCCCGTTTCTCTCGCCACTCTCTTAGGTAGCTTATGTGAATTTCAAATGATATTTAGTCTATAATCGATCTGTTTTGTTGAGTGTAACCAAGCTTTAGTGGGCCGCCCCGCCCTGTCCGGCTCAGCTCACCTCCAGCAGCTCTCCAGCTAACGAAATTGTTCATAAAGTTTACGAGTATTTCTCTGAAAATTGTTTAGTGCTTATCATTCCAGTCGTGTAATTGTTTAGTTCTAATCTTAGCCATAAATACTCACTACATTTTTAACCATGTAATCCCTAACTGAAATTGCAATTTTAAAATACACCAACCTACGTATAGTACGTGTTCTCTGATAATCCATTTATCTCTTGTTTGACCTTTACAAATTCCATAACAATATTTGCAGCTATTCAAGTACGAGTATATGGTGCAATTTATTACCCTGCAAAATCGAATCAGCCAGCAGTTTCGGAAGTGTTTTTACTGCCCAATATAATAAATTGAATGAGTGCTAAGATTAATAGCAATTGTACTTAAAATGATTATAAATGTAATGGGTATTTAAAGCTTCTATTAATTCGTTCATGCTCGTTTTTTGCCACTTTCAATATCGAAGTCGCGAATCGTATAAATCAATTGTGCTGCGCGCATCCATATGGACGACAAATACGTTTTATTTGCTCAACAATAAATGGCTGACAAATAACGTTGCAGTCTGAAAGACAACAAAAAAGCAAGAAAGTAGAGAGAGGTGCTCGTGGAGTTATAGGAATTTGTATGACAGCATCTTAACAGCATTGAACACCAATGGGACCCATTCGAATGGGCACTCAAATATAAAGATAGTCTCTTTATTTTTATAAATTTATATTCAGTTTGCATGTATGTATCCCCCACAGAAGTCGTGTCAGATACCACCTAAAAAGCAGACAAACTATTCACATTTAAATACCAAAACTATTTTTATCTGCAAACATTTCATCGCTGCCCTCGTTGGAACTCAGTGGGGTGTATCGGCCATTCAATAACCCACAGTGCCTTTATTCCCCTCCCTTCACACGGCGTATTCTCTTCGTGTAATGCAATTTTAAATTGAATTTTCTCCACCTGCGACTGTTGCAGATGCTCCATCGCCCTGCTTTCGACCAGGCCTGGCAACAGGTGGTGCCGCCACCCAAAAAAAGTCTCTCGAAATAAAGCGAAATGAAAACCAAACGAAAAGGAATCAATTTTCTGCCTATCACTGAGCCCCATAAAATGTCATTCGATGACAAAAGGCCATAATCCAATTAAGCCCATGCGTATGAGTGTTCCGTTCAGGCACACTCCAAAGCTATTCCGTGGCTATCTGGTGAAACCATATCAACCATATCTCCATAGATAGCAGCTGCAACCAGATCCAGTCGGATGGAATGGAGGCGGGAACCTTATCTAGTCAGCGGCTATTTGTACAAGCGTCAAAGGCTTTGGCGGCGGAACCTATTTGATTTCGATAATCAAATCACAAATTGCTTGTCTATCGATGGGCTGTTTTATTTTAATTAAATGCTAATTATGTTTACCATCGGCTCCGGCAAATATTTGGCGGGAGGATGGATGGCGGGGAGCTGTTAAATGATTCAGTTTTCCGTTTCGTGGAAAAGCTAATTGAAACTTTTCTAGCAAGGGACTGTCTACACGGGCATGCTGTCCCGAAATCTATTGCAATTTAAATGCAAATTTCCCGGAAAGTGCACACTTTCGGAGGAGTTTTACGACGGAAACCGGAGGAAGGATATGGCCGAGATACGCTGTGGCCAGGATGCCGATGCCGGGCAGGAAGCAGCCAGCCGCATTGCCATGTTTAATTTTAGTCCAAAAAAACAAACGTTGTAGTGGTCGCAACATCAAGAACAATAACAATAAACGCCTGCCTCGCGGCCAAAAAGGGTACGACTACACTCGGAAAATCTTGAACCAATTTCAGCTGGGGTATCCGAAGGTCAATCAATATAAAGACTACATAGAACATTTAAGATATCCAATAAACACATAAAATGTGAATGGCAGCCTTTAGCAGAGTCGACTTGTAACTAGTACACATTTTTTCTCGGTGTAAAGAGGATGTGGCGGATGTGTCTTGCATCCACTTGGCCTTTGCGAGTGGCGCGTGGGTGGCTGGTCTTATCTTGAATGCTGCCTCGACCTCGCCTCAAGTGCATTGTTGTGGCTGTTTGCCGCTTAAATGTGGCATCATCCACGTTTAACCTATGCGGATGCAACTTTCGCCTTTAATTAGTCGCTGCTTTATGACGCATTCATTCCCACATTAATTGTTCAGAAAGCTTTAAACAAAATATTAATATGAACATTTGTATATTTGTCACTCTTATTATCTGTCTGTGTCGTTTGTTATACTCTTGCTAAAAAAGTTCTATGCTTATGCATTATGCCGAGCAGTTAATACTATAATGAACAATGAATCCACCACAATATTTCATGGCACTACACATCCACTTTCTGCCATACATTGAATAATATTTTAATCAATGAACCCTTAGACCTTAAACTGTGATATGTACACAGCTGCCAATAGTTGGAACAAAGAACCGTAAAATTGATCTTGAAATCGGTTGGTGAAAAGCAACGAACTTTAAGAGGTTGATTTATCATAGTGTAGTCAAGTGTAGAGTATGCAAATGAAACTGAAAGTTCTGCTTCCAACGGCTTCCTTTTTCTCTTGCTCAATGATCCGCACCTGAATATAATTTCATTTTGATGCACAAATAAACAGTGGTAAATCAACAGTAGTGCATAATTTTTATTTGGGCAATTTTCATCACGAAAAAGTTAATGGATTCACCCAAAATGTAAAGACAAAAGAAAAACAGTCTGATTGAAATACTGAAGTACTTCCGTTCGCCACTTGGCCATTTTTCTGCCCATTTCTCATTTTCCATTTCACTTTTTTCTATTTTTTTTTTATTCTTTATTCTTTTTTTGCATATGTTTTATTCACATATGCAAACAGCATATCCGTTCAATTCAATTGCGTGGTGAGGAGGCCTTTTTTATCCCACGGTGAAGTGGCGCCCACACACACACGAATTATTCGCACACACCAATTCCCCTACACACACACACGCACAACGTACACCCACATATTCTCACACCATGGTAAAGTAGACTTTCTATTCGACCAATTGTTGATATGCACGAACATTGTTCGTGTCTGCTCGTCGCCGTGTTGGTGCCTGTCGTGCTTCCTGTTTCGGTTTTATCCGATGGCCGCTGCTGTTGCTTCTTCGTCTACCCATTCTGCTATCCACGTTAGATTTTTATAAAAGCCCGCTGCAGCTCTGATCTGTCGCTCAGTTGTTGCATACCTCTCGGCGTGACCGATACGCGAACCTTACCAAAGAAAGAAACAGCAAAACAAAAGGAGTAAAATCAAGTGAAAGTGCTTTCCAAATTGAGTTTCCAACATTTGTAAGTGCAATTTTTGCTTGTATTTTTAACAATTGAACAAAACGAAACAATAAAAACGACAAAATCCTGTCATAAAAACGAATGGTAGACATGGTTATAAATATAAAAACTCTTTATGGTTCAGTGCAATTTTTCAAAGTAAAATTATTAAATTTATCGGTAGTTTTCTTTAGTTTAAATTTTATTACAAATTCCTATATAAATTTAGCTCAGAAATGATTAAAATTACTGAAAAATAGTTCTTGAATTTTCATTTTGAAATCATTCTGCAAATTTTTTGATTTTTTTTAGGTAGTGCAGTAACATTTTTTTTATAAATAAACTAAGGAATTATTTACGAATAGGTTCGCTTAATTTTTACAGTTTTAGACCAATAAACTTGTAAAGAAATGAAAAATGTGCAGCATTCTTTGCATAAATAAGATGCGTTTAAATCTTTCTTTTCTTCTTTTCATACTGCCATTTGTTGTACGAAATTTATTTAACATTTCCATGACCATTTTGATCTCTTGGGCCTTCTTAGTGTCATTGCCAAGTTTTTTATGACGTGAAATTTTACTAGCAGCCAGTTAAACTTATTTTGACAGATTCCACCTAATTTGAGGGTAATAAAAGATACGAACCTCCTGGATGGTGTTTGATTCATTGGGTCACTGAAAGGTTGGAGTTAACAAGTTGGAAATTCCCGATGATATTCTCACTACTCCTGGGTGCTGTACTATTGACAAAAGTTCGCTTTGTTTTACATCTTCCAAACAATGTTTATGGAGGATGGAAACCATCAATTGGCAGCCGGCGGCGAGAGCTAATAAAAGGCAGCAACAATGCCGAGATACAGATGCATGGACGGGACTGGGAGGGCACACATCCGGTGGCAGCACGCAACGCGGAGTCCATTAGGGGACCACTCTCCCAAAAAGTAAAGCATAGGACTGAAAATATCTACAGGGCGGGAAGTGAGCCGTACGAAGGCGAGGGGAATGTCATGGCCGGCATGAGGTGACGCTTTAAAACTGCCCCTGGGTCTTAACTTGTTTTATGTCAACTTGGACAACAGCAGAAGAGGGGAACAGCAGAATGACGAGAACACGGCAATTACATCATGTGTAGCTCGACAAATACTTGAGTTGCAGCTGCGCCTAAAAGATGCTTTAAAATGTATCTGTACTTGCAAGTGTGTGCGTGTCTTGTGTGTGGTCGTATGTGTGAGAATGTCCACAGTAATTAACCCAAGCAACAACTGCACCTGAGATGGGACTCATTAAAGACACAAGAGATGGTCAAGTGGGGAGCTATTCGCAGTCCTTAGCACTGCTTAGGCCCAAATAGGATCTAGTTGGGGGCACTCTAATGGAACTTGTATGAATATAAATAGTTGAGCAACACTTTCAAGTGGATCTTTGGATCTAATTTGGGCAAGGCACGAAGGTCAGACATGTTAGAGCATAACCACTTACTCTTCTTGAAGACACCTCTTCCATTTACAATTATTTTTAATTTCTTAGTGAAACTCTGACCTCTGAATGAATTTAAGCTGTGTTAAAAAATGTGCATAAGTATTTTAATCTTTTGGGAAGAGTCTCATGACTAGAACCATATTTTGTTCTAAGATAAAACTCCACCAAAACGAAACTAATTCAAGCTGGGGCAAGATATGTCTTTACAGTTGTGTTCACTGTTGAAATGCCTGATCGCAATTCTTGGGGTACTTTAGGATTCAATTAGATTTGATGACTTCAGAGCGTAGTTGGGTTTGATAGTTTTGGTGAGGCGGTTGAAATTATTGCATTCAGCATTCAGTTCATTTTCTCATACTTACTGTTACCAAATAGTAAGACTTTTCTTGGTTGATTCTATTCCGCATAATTCAATTAAGTGTAAAAGGAATAAAAACCTTTACGCAGTCTTGCTATAATTTTTTGGAAATCAAAAGTGCTGAAGAAACTTGTAATTCAATCAGCCAAGGGAACCCATTCAGGCTTAGTAAAGTCACATATTTCACATCAGGGCAGTTGGTCTGAGAAACTGTCATAAAAAATACATAAATGGGCTACCTAAAAATCAACGAACCAAAGCGTGGCGCTCTTGTTGGAGCTGCCTTTGGCTTGGATCTCATCAGCGCACGTTGTGGATTTCAATCTCAATCATTTGGGATTAATTTGGGCAAGGCAGAAAGGTCACACATGTTAGAGCCTCCCAGCCAACTCCTTCTACAACAAACCATCCCTCACTCCCACATCTTTAATGAGTCTTTTACACAAAGGATGACGAGTCAGACAGACTGGCTTTAATGCCTCACAAAGAGCTTAAACCGCATAAATTTACATTTAAATGTACATTAACGAATGATGCATGATGTATAGGGGGGATGTGTGCCTTAGATCTAACCAGTTCTCGCATTCAGGATGGGCGTGTCCCGGAAATGCAGCTCCGTGGCGGCAGGAGCCTGTTGGTACTCCACCACCACAATGCTATTCAAGCCGACTTTGAGCACCGGTGCGGGGACGTAGAGTGTGACCTGTGGCCCCACCAGAGGCCAGTAGCGACCGAGATTCTCGCCATTCAAGAACACAATGCCTTTGCCCCAACCGGACATGTCCAGGTAGGTGTCTGCCAGGTCCGCCTCTTGGACAATATTGAGCATGCCATGGTAGATGGCTGGTCCCGAGCGTAGCATATGCTGGGGCTTCCTCAGCTCCTGGAAACCCATGCTAGCCGCCTCATTGGACTGTGTGATGAGCTGCTCCAGACTTTCGTAGGACTCCAATGGGAATGTGGTCATGTTCCAATTGACCAGCAGTTGCTTGTCCAGCCGCACGTCCTTGGTGATGCCCTTGAAGTCGTTGATCTGCCTGCCATAATTGATCCTTCCTTGGTTCTCCACCAGGATCTGTAAGCGCCGTCCGGCACTGGCACTTAGGGGCAGCGAAAACACGGGCGTCTCCCGGGCCAGCAATCCCACATATTCATTGTCCACATAGATATACGCACGATCTGCCAGTCCAGGCACATTCAGGATGCTCGGATCTCGCTTGAAGCGCGGCAACCAAGTCTCGTACAGCACCAGTCCTGAGTACTGGCCCAAGGCTTCGAAGGTCATCGGCTTGGCAGCCTGCACCATGCCCGTGGCCAGCTTCTGGCGTGTTCCCGGGGCAAACAGTGTGCAGCAGCTGAGCAGTCGCACTGTGCCATAGGCACGCTTTGGCACGGGTGCCGGAACGGGCACATTGGGCAGCGGCAGGTATCTGGCGATGATCTTGCGGAGAGCGTGATACTTGGGCGTGGGATCGCCGGCCTCTGTCATGGGTGCATCGTAGTCGTAGCTGGTGATGTCCGCTATGTAGTTGCCAGGACCATTCTCATTGGCGCCTGCAGTGAAGCCAAAATTTGTGCCGCCATAGAACATGTAGAAGTTGACACTCGCTCCACTGTCCAGCATGTTTCTGTTGAGGATTAGGAAATTTACAAATGATCTTCCCGCCGCTTGAAACTCCCTTCGAAGCTTACATAAAAGTTCCAGTAATCGAGCTCGTGCTCACATTGGCCATGGGCTCCGTCCAGTGCGTCAGCCAACCCGGATAGTACTCCGCATTGACCAAGGGACCCCTGGGCTGAAACTGCCTCAACCTTGACCAGGTTGCTTCCAGATCGTTGGTGGCCCCAAAGTCCATGGTGGCCAGAACGTTGTCGATTTTGCCGCAGCGCAAGACGCTGGGCCCGTCGTTGGTGAAGAGCACGGCATGGCCCTTCACATGGCTCTCCGTTTCGTCGCGCAGCCAGGTGCGGTATTTGCCATCGCAGGCAAAGTACGAGCCATACTCGTTCTCCACTTGCACCATTATGATGGGTCCACCATTGCCATAAAGATACGGATCCATACGGGTAAAAAGCTGGTTATACCAGATGCGTACCTCACTGAGGTAATCTAGAGGTGGAACGGAGTCACATTTAAATCAAATTCATTGATGAAGTTCATCTTCCACTTACTGACATCCGAAGTGCGGACTTGAATGCCGGGATACTTTTTTAACAGCCAGTAGGGAAAGCCGCCCATGTCACGCTCCGCACAGATATAGGGTCCTGGACGGAGGATAACCAGCAGGTCCTCGGCCACAGCCAGGCGGATAAAGTGCTCCAAATTGGCTATGCCCGTCCAGACGTACGCCCCATCTCGGGGATTATGGAGCGACCACTCCACATAGCTATACGGCACAAGGAGTATATTTTGAGTATTTTCAATCAAAGAGTGAACTGAGAACTTACGTGGTCACCGCATTGAGTCCAGCTGCTCGCATTGTCCGCAAATGCCTCTGCCAGGTGGCGGGGTGAGCGCGGAAATAGTGAAACGATCCGGCAATAAAACGAAACGGTATACCGTCCTTCAAAAACTGATCATTTGGGTAGTCCACCGTGAAAGTTCGATTCCCATTTGCACTTCCCATGAGGAAAACGACGCCCCAAAGGAAGGCAATTGTCAATACGCCGAGCTTCATTTTCCTGAAGTAGAATACAAACAAAAATAATTAGAAATATTCGTTGAACGAAACATAAATTGTACCTCCAAAGCCAATGTAAATTAAAAGAGGAAAAATACATTTTTGTATTAATGTATTTGATTTACTCTTGACAGTTGAATTTTTAATTGAAGTTTGATTCTAAGTTGGCTAAATTTTAATTTTTGGATTCATTGTTTTAGTAATTTACTTACCGCTTTTGAAAGGCAAGAAATTACTTATTTATTTGTGTTACACTTTTAATTTGTGTGGCATATAAAATGAATTGGTTTATGGAGAATATCATCAATTTATTAAGTGTCGAGCAATTAATTAGAGTTTAGTTTACATTATCGAAACCTATGTTTAAGATTTATTCAGTCTAAGAAAATCACTGTAAAGCTTTCAATTGAATCTACATGTACCCCTGGAACCATCCCACATTTCTTATCTTCCAAGAATAGTCTATTCGATTATAATTATTCCTATTACTAGAACTACTTTCCCACATGTGTATCTTCCGGCTAGGCGAACCCCTTCCGCTTCCTGGTACATCTGTCTAAATCATCTCAAATCTGTTCGGTCGAGTTCATTTCAGTTCAGAGCTCGTGTCGTCGTCTCAGTTGAGATGCTTCAATTGAAGTTCATGGCTCAATTGTTTAGGGACAACAAAATGATTTAATCTCTTGTTTGTTTTGCTTATAAATTGGTTGAAAATTAATTCCATCTGTCGTCACCAGTCCCAGTCCCAGTCCCGTACCCCTCGCGAAAGTCAATCAGAACTTGGAACTTTTTTTAGACTTGTATTTTATGTTGCCGCCCATCAATTAATGCAGACCTCAAATTTATTGGCACGAATTAACTTTCATTATTGTTTATGGAGTTGTTTCTCTGCACTCGAGCAGCTGTTTAGCAATTAGTATTAAATGTTTTCATACATTATTAATACAAAAAAAAAAACATTTCTTATCAACTTCATTTTGTTCTTTGCTTTGCTTTGCTTTTCTTCTCTTTCTTTTTCTTGTTCTTGTTCTTGTTTTTATAATTTTTTGCTCTTTGCGATTTGACATTATGCTACGTGTGTTTGTGGTTTCTTTTTGTTGTCCGCTGATTATTTTGCACATAAATACTATAATTATCCCGACCACTACTATTGCTTTATGTACATACATGTGAATATTCTCCATGATTCAGGGAGCATTTTTCTGCTTGGAAGAGTTTTTCTTTCACGATTGTGTGACATTTTAAATGAAGATATTACAAATTAAATGGCATGTTTAATATTTAAAACACCAGAAAGTATAGAACTTCAGCAGTGTTTCCCTTGTACTGCATCTATGTTAATGATTAATAATAAAGATCTTAAACGATTAGCAATTTGAGCTAATTGAGCTGCTAGTGTTTCCCCTGATTTATTGATAGTATTATGAAGAACTTATAAAAAAAATTCCCTCAATGATAAGTTTCAGATTTCAGCCATGAACTTGCCATTAACCATTAACCCTACATTGAATGAAATATTTAGGAATATCAGCAAAAATAAAAGTATTCCCATGTATGTATGTGCATATTTTATGTATGTAAACCCAAGTTGTATCAACAAGAAAAAATGAATATTAAGCAGAGCCCAAAATTGGAACGGGAATGGGAACGCAAGCACAAATTTAGAGGCATTTGACCCAATTCAATTATTTTGCATACTCATACTCAAGCGCAGCCGTACCCCTAGCCTATCTCTGGCTCTTTCACTGAACATCGGCCCCCCCCCGTTGCATGTTCGCTTTAACATTTGTACTTCACCGACAATGAGGCGAGAAAGTTGGGGCTTTTGTTTTGGCACAGCTCCATTGTTCTTTGAGGCAAAGTAAACCCCCAGAGGATGTTTACCATACGAGGACGGGGATAGGAGTCAATAGTTGACCCAGAAGATCCCAGAGCTCTGTGTACACTCACCTCACTGGTAGCACTGATAACAAATATTAGAATAGCTCACTTATGATTCTCTTATGTGGAACACACACAGAACGAGCACGATCGCGATCGCGGTTGCAAGCGGTAGGTGGATCGGGAAGCGTAGAGCACCGAAGCGACTGTCGCGGTTGAAAGCTGAATGCGGAATGATCGCACGTTGACCACAAGCCGCCGATTAAGTGCAGAGTCGACAGCGGCTGCCGCAACATGAGGCTCAGGCAATTGCAGTGTGCCAGCAACATTTTCTGTGAAACGTTTTCACAAGATAGAACCAAAGTGTTGGCAGATACGAATTAATAATGCAAATTGCACCATGCAGTCCGAGCAATTTATTTGCGCCAGCAAAATAGAAATTATACAAAAGATCCATAAGTTGTTCATGTAAAACATATGTTCCCTTGAGAGCTGACAAGTTTACTTAGTACTCGCATCAACCAATTGAAAACTCCATTAGCGAAAATACAATGGAACAAACTGCAGCTGATCCTTAACCTTCAGCTGGGTATATCGTTTATTGGTATCCACAACAGTTTGAGGATGGCCCATTGGCATGCCCCGAACCAGGCCTCAATATTAATGTAAATTTATTTGAAATACGCACGCACGCTCCGATATCGAACTGCGGGCGGGGGGCTAGCCGCTGCTGGGCAAAAACCCCAGAATCCAGAAGACAGAAGTCAGAACCGATTCAAAAGTACAGTCACGCCTCATATTTTATGCATTAACTGTGCTCGTGTGTGCGTGTTTGCTCCGCTCCACTTGTCTGTTTGTTTTGGCCAGAACTTTTTGGCATGCAAAAAAGGTTGACGAGAATGCAGCCCGCGGCCAATTGGCCAAAAAGTGAATTTTCTATGTTGTTTTATTATTAATTTTCATACGTTTGCTGCCGAAGCCGTACTCTACTGCTGGGACATGTTCTGCAGGCCTTTCAGCCGGGCTAATAGCCGGGCTATATTATACACATCCAGGGCACACACATCCACAGCAAGAGGGAGAGCTGGCGAAAATGTAAATCTAGACGTGCCCGGACTCGCTTCCGTGGCCATCTTTAATCTCACACGCCTGTCGGCGGTTTAAAGTGTCCTTTGGGATGGACACCGGCGCACACACAAAGAGAGCAGAGCGCACAGCAGGCTGGAGTACAGCCCCTACATAGACAATTAGACAACATACAAGGACACGTTAACAGCTTAGCCGCATTCCACACGGAGACACATTAAGGCCCTGTCGTGGGAGTTGGATGGCAAAGGATGAAAGTGTGCGACTAGTGCTGGTCCGGTGCCATTGTTTGACTGGCTGCTGTCAGCCTCATGTCCTTACAGGACGGTGAACCGGGGGCGTTGATGTGGCAGGGCACACGGCAGCACCCAAAACCGGAAGCTCAACACACATTCGCCGCCGCTAGGCTGTTAATTCTGTGGCAGCAAAACTTTTGCATGGCATTAGAGTGAACGGGTACCATGGGATGATGAGCTACTGAAAGGGTTCATATTTTGGAGCTGGGAATGGCAGCTAAATTCGATGACTAGCGACTGATCTCTGCCGGTTGCCTTGCTGCTAGATCTCTTCCGCTCTCAATGATGATCCCAATAATTAAGTTTTCCAGCGACTAACCAGTTTTAGTCTTAGTCTAGCCTACTACCACTACCACGGTGTCCTGATGCTTTGACATTTCCCGTATTATCTTTTTCCTTTTTACATTTCAAGTACTCAACTTTATGGCGCCCTGCACTTAAGCTCAACTGTAACTCAAATCCCTGGACAAACTGAAGCCCCAGCCCTCCCTCCGTCACTGACGACACAATTATTGTACTTGGTGGCGATGAGGTTTAAGTGGCAAGCGACAACCTGTTGATTGTGGCAAATGCAACATCAATTCAATTCAAATGCATTTCGTTAAGTTGTTCAATTGAATTGCTCTTTTTCTGCTGCTGCTCCAACTCCTAGCGCTCTCCTTTTACCCGCACCTTTGCCCATCGCCACCTTATCCTCAGGTCTGCCCATCTATATTCCTCCGCTGTGTCTGCTCTCCTCTGTTTGCTTGCTGCCGCCTGTGGCAATCAATTGAATTACATGTTTGTTCTTGCTTCCTGTGCGCGCATCGTTAGACTTTTCCATAGTTTTTGATACCCTGAAGGGGGGGAATGACGATTTCTAGCAAAGTTTTAACACACAAAACCCATGGAGTGTATAATATTAATTGTCATACTTTTATGGTTATACTTATTTCTGGTTACGAATAGCAATAGCTTCCAGAGATCAGATTCATTTGCAAGGGTATCGACAGCTTCGGTAGCCACAGCTCTAGCCTTCCTTTCTTCTTTTAGTAGCTGTTGCAGTTGCTGCTGTTCTTCTGACACCATTTCTCTATCTTGGCGTCTTATCAAGGCGTAACGCTCCAGGCCGAGAGCATTTGCATGGCAATTTGACTTAACAAGGCGTGGCTGTGTCGACAATATAGCCGCATAATCATGTGTGGCATCATTGGAAGCTGGCTGCCGCCTTTGGCTGTACATCAGAGAAACCGTTAGGTCTGCAGCATGCAAGCGGCCGCCAAATGAATGCATATGCAACTGGAAATCCCGCTTTTAGAGCGGTTCTCCTCTTCCAGTACCCATTCCCCTCCAGAGCTAGACCAAAAAAGGTCAAGTGTACCCTCGCCCCCGCGAGTCTTTTGTAAGTCTAAGTGCACTACAGAAAATATATGCAAAAATCTGAAAAGAGTAACATCAAAAAAGCACAAACAAAACAGGAAGTGAAAATGGAAAACAGTTTAGGGGAAATGGGTTTCCTGCCGGCGGCAGTCAAATGTTGAAAAATATTTAAAATCTGCATTAAAGCAGAAGTTATATTGAAATGATTGTTAGACCTAAATTGATTGGTGCTTTGATCGATGACCACATTCATTTTAAGTGAGCTTAGAGATGGTCTAACCGCTGCCACTTTTAGGAATCGATTTAGTGATAAAAGCCAAGACTTTCTTTATCTAAGAACACATATAACTAATATTTTATTCAATAATCTTTCCTAAATGGAGTTTCAAGTCCCTCTTTCAACACAAAACTCACCTGTCGCTTACACGTTCAGCTCCCTTTCCAGCTGTGCTTCGATTTCAAACGCCCGCCTAAAAGCTCGCTACGTGCAATGCGCAGTCAGGAAGGTTCGTTTGCAGTGGCGCTGCTGCTGCTGTTGCTGTTAACAGCCGCATCCACAGCAGCCGATGCCGAACCCGATGTGGAGGCCTCTGTTAGCACTCTGCCGCCCGGTGCAGACGCTCCCCGGAGGATGGTTAAGCGAGCGCCCACCTCCAGCTTTATAGGGATGCGAGGCAAGAAGGAGGAGGAGAAGGATCAGCGTGCTGCCGACTGGATAGGACCCGATCCTCTGGACTACGCCGATATGGATGAAGAAAGCTTGTACTTCGAGAACGGGCGGCGGCTCAAGAAGGCCCCCATGTCCTTTGTGGGCATGAGAGGCAAGAAGTATATACCCTTTAGTAACCGTCTATCCGACGTTCTACATCAGATAGAGGAGCAGCGAATGCGCGAGAATCTACTCCAGGACCTATTCGAGCGGCTGGCCGCGGGCGACGATAATGTTGGGGATGTGGGAAAGCGGGCACCCACCGGGTTCACAGGCATGAGGGGCAAGCGACCGATGAGCGGAGACGAGGACGAAGAAGATGCCATGGAACTGCTCCAGAAACGGGCACCGGTCAACTCCTTTCTGGGCGTGCGCGGCAAGAAGGATGTTTCCCATCAGCACTACAAGCGAGCGGCTCTGTCAGAGGTAAGAACAACAATCACGTGTCCGTTCAGAAACTTGTTGAGAATCTAATCGCCTCCAGTTCTGGCACACTTTCTTAAAAAAGGCCTACGATGTGAGGGGCAAGAAGGAGCGCTACGCGGATTTCAATAGCAAATTTGTGGCCGTGCGTGGCAAGAAAAGCGAGCAGGACACTGGCCTAGACACTGACGATGGCGATCAACAGTACCTGGTCCGTCCCTGGCTCTACCTTTGGGGGGACAACAAGCGGGCGCCCAGTGGCTTTCAGGGCATGCGCGGCAAGCGTCCAGGTGAGTGCTGGCTGATCCTCAATCCCTGATCTGCAGTTGAGATTTATTATCTTCTTTGCAGCGCTCGTTGAATAGAAATCGTTCACTTCATGGGGTTGACAGTGTTTGAAGTTCCTTTTAGAGCCACGAAACTAGGAAAAGAAAGACAGAATCAGACAAGAATCAGAGTTACAGACGACGACAAAAGAGTGTTTGCAATAATCTCAGGGCTGGCGATTATTTCAAACACCCTCAAAACACACACATCCACACAAACACAAGGAAACAATTGGCTTTGTTTTATTATCTTTCGGTGTAATGTAGAACGAGACTTGAATTGAATCCAAAGCCTCCTCAATCATTGATCTATTTGCATATCTAATTGTGAAATTCTTAATCAAAATTAGCAGACATTTTATGCACGAGTGGCAAAAGAAACACACACAAAAATATATGTACGGGGAACACATTTATTTATTTTCAAATATGTTTATTTAAATAAAAAACAACTTCCATTGTGGTACATACATCTACGTATACAAGAGATATATACATACATATATGTAATACATACAAAATATAGCACAAATAAATATTGTAAATATTGTATGGTAACTAATGAATGAATAAACAATGATTCCACAAAAGAATAATCCTCTTTCAGTTGAGCTCCAGATGATAAGCAAATGTCATGACTAACCAGCGACAAGAACAATTAAAAAAGTAAGAAAAACCATTTAATAGTCTTCTCACAATTCCTGGAAATTCAATTTCAGCTACACATGTACAGCATGTACCTCTCAGAGCAAACAGATTGTACTTGCAACAACAAAATAAACCACAACGGCACAGTTTCTAAATATGAACATATGTACACAGACTCTTAATAAGCTGGAAGACCCTATCCCAAGCCAGAGCCAGACCTGTCCAGAGCACTGGGTGACGGGAATCAGTGATTGATGGGTGTTAGGGAGTCAGAGTCAGTCGTCCGGGAATAACCGACATTTAAAGTGCGCATTTCAGCTGGACATCACTTACGCCTCTCGCGTAACAGGTAGCACAGCTGTATGGCTGTACTAAAATTATGGCCTGTACCTAAAGGAACATTTCCAGGAAAATGTACAATATTACCAGAATACATTTATGCAAACGTAAACAGTAGAGTATTTATTACACAGTATATTTTCGGTACTCAGATTAGTTTATTTATTTTCCCCTGCCGTTTTGGTGTTCAACACTTATCACAGCTCGCACTTTCACAATTTGTACACACGAATTTGGCATTTGCCATCACACTCCCACAGCCTTCCCGTCACACACCAATAAAAAGCGTCACCGAAAGTTCTCTCAGAAGCACGAAACACGAAGCCCCGCTCAGAAAGCTCGCAAACGCAGAGACATAGGAGCGCCATCGCAGCTTATAAATAACAGACGCGATCTTCGTTCTTTTGCAGTTAGTTTTCAAAACTCGTGACGACTACATTCATCGTCGGATCTTCCAGAGAGAAATACCATTACTCGTGAGTGAGTGAGTGAGTTTTTTGTGCTGTCGTTTTTGTATGCGAAAAGGAGTCAGAGCCAAAGACATTTTGTGACTTTTTTAATCAAATTGATTGTGATGTGGATGTGGATGTGCCAATTGTTGTAATCCAAAAGACAATTGACAATAATTATATGTGTGTGCTCGCAATTAATGCGTGAAGACAGTGGAAAAGTTTCTCCTCTCTCCGCACTCGGTGGCCAGCCAGTCGTCACCTACATATTTGAGTGCAGGCTGACGTGGAAAACCTGTATTTTGGTCGTCGTCTCAGCTGTTTCCAGTGCAGTAGTGAAATTTCTTGAACCCAGCCAGCCATCGCCATCGCCATCCCGCAGAGTCTTTGTATTACAGCAACTTTCTGTTATTTTATTTTCTTCTCCATTCCCCCATTTTTATAGCACCCCAATTTAGTGCTTCAAACTGTGATATTGTCATTTCAAACAACATGTTGAGACAGTGGGCTTGCCTGCTCCTGCTCGGGTCCATCTCCATCCAGGCGGTGCCCTTCTATGGAGAGTAAGTATTTGCTGATCAACACCAGTGTGTGTGTGTGTGTGTTTGTTGTGTGTTCTGCCTTCATGCACATTTTATGTAGTTTGTTTTTTGTTCATTTCGTTGTGGTTTTCGGGCTAAACACTCATCGACATCTTCTGATAAGGCATGAACTTGTTGTCGAAATGTAGAACTAAATGAAAAATGTTGTTGAAGCGTGTCCTAACACCGCGAATACACTAGAAAAATTCATGGAATCATTGGTAGAAATTGGACTCTGTAGTCATCATCAATACGTTATTGGCATTTGCATGAAATATTTCACCAAAGTCATTTATAATGCTTATAAATCGGCAATAATATTATTCTAACTTAATTTAATAACGAGTTCTTTATTTTAAGTCATAAAATACATTCAAAGATGTGAGACATTCATAAATTTAACTGTTTTCATTAAACAAATTGAAAGGAAGGAAAATGTTCTCATAATTATATTATCATTTGTAGGTAGAAAAATCTAATTATTTCAATACAAACTTCTTCAGAGAGTCACTCACATGCCAATATAGTAGATTGAATATACCTAACTCAAACACTTTGAAAATCCTTTGTCACAGTTCCCTAACGTAATCCAATGATCTATAAAGATCAGTAGAACCCTCCACCTACTCCACCTTACCACCAATATTATGATTGATTGCAATTTCAGTTCAGGCTCTGGATCGGAATCTGAGTTTGATGAATCTGAGGGTTCTTCTTCCGAATCTTTAGCCAAATCCAGGTGAACTATATGCCAGCCCAGTGCTCTTCTCAGCCATACCATCCATACCCAGTAGATCAGACCCAGCAGAAACTGGCAACTACTTACCAAAACAAACACCTGAAACCAGTTTTAATATTTACAACACAAGTAGTTCACATGTAGTTCACAGAAACCTAAACACTCCCAGCAAGTTTCAATATTTAAGTGTGCAAGAAACTGAAAGATTCTTTACGGGTTTACAGCTCCAACGATAGGCAGACTGGGTTCATTCAGTCTTCGGGTTTTTATGACAGTTTTTCGAGGCAGAAACCTTTAGGTCTGTTTGTTCTGGGAGAAATTTTTCGCTCGCTAAACAAAACTGCAAATAAAGTTGACCGAAATGTGGTTGGAGGCGGAAGAAGGCCCAGAAAGAAAGTCCCAAAGCCCCAGAAATGGCCTCAATTGATAAAACCTTCAACTGAAACTGTTGAGAGAATGTCTGGAGATTGTTCTGACGCGATTGAGCCTAACCCTGCAGGTCGGACGGGTCTCCATTCGAGTTGAAGTTGGAGTCTGAGTCTCTTTTATGTTGCTCTTGCATTTATCTGTGTTTTTTTGCGAAAGATATTGCTGCAAGAGAACAATGTGCAACTTAAGTGGGGCAACACCATCGCATCCGCCAGAGATGCAGCCGCGGGACGTGGCCAACAAAATCTTCATCCTCCAATCTGCGCCACACTCGGCTGACTCTGACTGGTGGCGGCGCAACCTTTAGGTTCAGGCCGCTGTAGGGCTCATCTTTGACACAATTCTCAATCAGTGTTGGCCCTGAAAACAATTGACATTTGACACGTCATTAGGTGCCAATTCGGGGGCCCAGGTATTCCTCACCCCACAATCGTATAATCTGCCCTCGAAGTGGGTCACTGCTGCTGCTGCGACTCTTTTTTTCTGTGTGTTTTCCTCTCTAAATGGTTTGTTTCTGTCTGCCGCAGTTGCGCTTTAATTAAATCAGGCAGTCATTTGGTCGGATCCAACCACCGCTCTGGTGACTGCCGCTGAGACTCCCCCTCCACATTACCATTTCTCCGACAATCTGTGATTCCCCGTCAGTGGCTCTCTCACTGCCTGCTCTGTGGCGAATGACTTTCGCTTTGGTTCCAAGCGAACAGAATTTATTTTGTTTACAAATTTCATTTGTTTTCTGCATTCGGTATGCATTCTCCAGAATGTTCCAGAATATGGCTTTGAAGGTGTTTTCCTTGGAATAATATCATGAATCACGCAGATTTTAATTTGTTTAAACTTTCAATGAAATGTTTTAAAATCAAATCTCTACAAAAAGGTTGCTTAACAATGGGCCTGAATGCATCTTCAAAACTTAGTTATGGGCGTGGGAGAAATAGTAATGGAAATATTTATACCAGAATAAATAAGAACGGTTTTACATAAGTAGAAATTATAGATATAATTAATAGGCATTATTCCAGATATATCACCTTCCGCAACTTCCATTCACAAGCTTTCCCTTGGGAATCTTTAATTTATTAATGCTTTCATCATTGTTTTATTCCCACATTTATAATGCCATTGTTAACCAAATCGTATTCCTCATTCAATCATACCGAAATCTATTTTGTTTCAAGTATTTAGAAATAGTTGTACATCGAACAATGAATTACTCGAATTTAGGTGGAGTAAAAGGATTGCATGGAGACTTAAAAGATCGTTAAGATTTGCTTCTAGGCTAAACTGCAGCAATTTGTGCAGAAATTTAAAGATTTATTTGAAATTGAAAGCGCATTTGATTACTTATTTTTAGAATTTATATCGAATGGGCGCTAGACTAATGTTAGCAATATATTTGCACAAGAAAGTAATTATTTAATTGTTTAATTAACGCTAAAAAACGTTCATTGACAGCTTGAGGAATTTAGTGGTTAATTAGTTATTGTTTCAGTTAAAGGTTTCATGTAAAAGATTTCAAATAAGTTTACATTTCACAGTCAGAGAAGGGAATGGCTTTGGTTTCAGTTCATTCCAAATAATTTATTATGCATCCCAATTGTTGAGAGTGAAGAACAGTAAGGTTAACAGTGGATTATTCAATTCAATATATTCTCAGGGTACATAAATTCCTCAAGACACGAGACAAGAGAGAGACACACATTTATCAGGCCAATGCCCAAGCCCCATCCATAATCGCTTTGTCGGCTTAAATACATATATTGCCAGTCCCTCTGTGTCTCTGAGGCTAAGCCGCCTTGAGCCCTCGCTCCTCACGTACCACTCGGATAATGAGTCACACAGAACAGACAGAGCTCCAGTCAGAATACAGAGCCAGCCATCAAAACTGAGGGACAGATGGACAGTTGGAGTACGGCGAGTCGTTGAACAAATTGTTTACGTTTTGCCTTTGAAGCATTATATTTTTATTGTTTATTGCCGGATAGTTTCGTTTCTTTATTTTTTATTTAGCACTGATGATGGGGGTTTTTTTTAATTAGCTTCCGCGAAACGAATTTTAATGACCCGCAACCGAAGTATGTTCTAGAAAGTGTCTCTTTTCGATGGGTGATACTCCTAGTACTCCTCCTGATAGTTGAGAGCCCAAAACATCGTTGACATAAATCCCAGTTGATGGATGGACCACTGCAAGGAGAATGTCTCGAGTTTTGTTTGGTGATTGATTTTTTTGTGGGTTGTTAAAAAGCTATTTTCATTTGATTTCATTGGTGCAGAGAATTGTGGGGGAGGCACTTAGTATGCGGCTCAGGCAAATGCTGCGCAAAAAAAAAAAAAACAAATTAGCTAAACAATGAGCACGATCAGCATATATACTAACCGCACATATACGAATTTACAAATACATATAAACAGTGGATCTGTAGGGGCTGTGTGGAAGCTTCTTTTATGTGAGGGAACAATGAAGGCATATGAATTATGGTGCTCGGATTCTCTACTTCGTTCCGTTTCGAACCGTTCTTCATGGAATTTGCATGAACAAACACAAACACAAACACAAACACACGCATACAGTTACAGATACACTAACCATAACACTCACTCCCGTTCGATCGCCTACTGCCTCCCCTCACTTCAGCTTTATGCCACATTTAACACACACATTGCCGCTGCAACGCACCATGTTCGCGCCCATACCACTAGCACCGCTAGCACCACTCGAACCACTCGATCTGGAGCCCATGCATGCCCAGGCCTCGCAGCGAGTGGCAAGCGTCTGGGCCCATGGTCCGCCCGGCCCTGCGCCGCTGGCCCCCCAGCGACCACAATCTCACCTGTTGCCACTCTTCAGCAGCGGCAGTAGCTTTGACACTGAGTTCGTGCCCCTGGAGCACCAGCAACGGCCACAGGGACGTCAGGATGTGGGACCAGCGCCTGGACCCGTTCCGCCAGCAGGTGGAGTCGAGCAGAAACCTTTCAGTAAGTGAAAAGTTGAGGTAAAGGAGATCTGGAAACATAACTTCTCTTTTTGCAGATGTGGATGCCATCACCACGGATGTGAATGCCCCCAATCCAGCCATATTCTTCCAGCAATCGTTCCCCTTCTTTGGCAATGAGTTCTTCAATTCATTTGGCGGCTTTGGCTTCGGCAATGCCCAGGAGCCCTGGTGGAAGGGGTAAGTAAAGTTGTTATAACAAAATATGGAATATCTTTAGATTTATAAGCAGAAATCTCTGCCAAATTTCCCACAACATTTGAATGTTAAAAATCCACTTGTTATGGTCCATAAGTTTTTGCTTCTTTCCTAATCGCCGCACACGACTGCCTCTGCCTCTGCCTCTGGGCACTGGCACTGGCTTTGGAGCAGACAACTATGACTGTTCTTGGCACTTGGCAATTAAGAGAGCACAATGTCAAGTTCACTCCAGCTATTAAATATTGAATGATTTGTTTTTTTTTTAATTTTTAATTTCTTGGCTTATCGCTTTACAGCAGCAATCGAGCATAACCATTAAAATAAATACATAAATAAGTAATTTTCCATCCAGTCCTCAAAGATTGCTCCCAGCCGAGGGAATTAACGATCTCTAGGGTTCCGTTCCAATGATAGTTGCTTCAACGAATCTCTAGACATCGATGGTGTCGAGTTCAATTGTTCTCTTGGGGCTACTTGTTCTTTCGATTAATTGTTTAAGTCGACAGAAAATTGTGGTTGTACTTGTACTCGTACTCGGACAGAAACTGAATGAGTACATTAAGTGAACTATATTGGATAAGTGCACAAGTCGGACTATACATTTGTGCATATAGTACACAAAAATACAAAAGCTTGCACTTTTCTAAATTGTGAAATCAACCGACGTCGTTTTCACTCGTTGTGCGATATTTTGTTGTAAAATGAAAGTCAGAAATGTGGCAAATTGAAAAATTAGCTGCACAGAGAGATATATACATAGAGATATAGCTACGAGTATGTGCAGCTATGGTTCACTGGGAAATTTCTAAAAAAGCTACGCACACAATGAGTTGGCTTTCAGAAAACAAAAATATTTCAGCGACTGCCATAATTGAATTGATGGACTGGCATCACAAAATAGCTACTATATCTATATATACATCTCTATGTACTTGTATATGTGTATAACTATGCTTTATATGGCGGATCACTGTGCAAATTCATTCAACAAACACTCGACACGAGTGGCGGCTGCCGATGGACTGTCTGATAAGTGCCTTGAACTAACTTTGATTGGTTTCATAGATACTATCTACATATATGTATAGGCTGGGCTATGGGTACATTGACATTGCGATTTGCATATCTCTGATAAATGTATGACTAATTCATTAGCAAACGTTTTCTAGGCTTGCTTTGGGTCTAAACATGAACAAATTTCTTTGAAATGAAATTAGAACTTGAAATGTAATTGAGATATAAAGAATATTTTCCATATGTGCTATATGATATATTTTCATTACATAAAGATCTTTCGTTACAGCTTCGATTCCACGAATGTAACCGGTTCTAGTCGTTTCTTATTTTAGTTTCGAATTCCCAGCCCTGCTATAAACATTGCTCGAATCGTTTATACATCAATAAATCATTGATTTTTGTTAGCCAATTGTCGAAATAATTGCACAGTTCTGAAAAGGGTGGATCGAATGTACACCTGCCGCAAACAGGTTTCCCATTAAATCAGTTGCAAACACCAGAGAGGGGCAAACGATTATCTAAGCAAATTACACAACTGAATAATTAACAAACGTCTCGATGATGCCTCTTCCTTCCCAACAGTCCCAATGTGTGCACCGAGAAAGAGGAAGGCGAGACAGTGGCCACAGAGACGGAGGCTGATGAAACCGTCGACACCTTTGGCCAGGAACGTGACGGCGTCAGCAGCGCTGTGCGATCCCCACTCTTCGGACAGTTCCAGTTCAGCGTAAACTCCTGCATGGAGAAGCCCAACAAGCACGTCTGCACCAAGATGTAAGTCCAAATGGTTGGATTCAGTGGATTACCCAAGACTCTGTGTAACTGTCTTCCTTCTTCCCGATGTGCAGCGTCAATCAAAATGGCAAAAAGAAGACCCTGACTCTGACACGTCAGTGCTGTCACGGCTATGGACGCTCGAGGAATGCGGACTTCAGCACACCCTGCGAGAAGATCGACATCAAGGATGTGGAGGCCACAGCCAGCGACATGGGAGCCAAGCAGTTCATTGAGAGTGCCCGCAAAGCCGGAGAACTGTCCGACCTGCTGGGCCAGGGCAGTGGCAAGATGGTGACTCTGTTTTTGCCCAGAGATCAGGACTTTATGGAGTACCATGCCGCACAGGAGCAGGAGAATGTAAGTGGTAAATGGAATGTTGAATATGGATTCCACACTAATCCCATGCCCCACCAATCTCACAGATCGTTGAAGAAGCCAATGCCGATAAGACTAAGCCATTGTCCATCTACAAACTGCATGCAGTTCTCGGAGAAGTCCAGCTGGAGGATGTGCCCAATGAGCAGCTGCTGCAGACGGAGGTGCCAGACCAGAAGATCCGCATCAATAGCTACCAGCTACCGCCAGCACTGGGCCTGGAACCCTATCGCT